TAGAATTATTCTAAGCTTGAAATAATGTTCTTTTGTCTCTAATACTGAGGTCTTAGAGAATTAGAACATGGCAGTTCAGTAGGCTGTGGTATGCGGACCCTTGGTCTGGGGTCAGGCAATCACTAACAGTGATGTGTACTCAGAAACAGTCGTTGGGAGAGCAGGCTGACACTCACCTGCTAAAGACTAGTTTGATACAAAATGTTAATTGAAAGTTACAATATATTTTATAATATAGCAATATATTTCATATTTAAAATAAACTGTTATGCTTTCTCCTATCATTAAAAAATAGCAAGCAGTACAGAGGCAAGATGCAAATTCATATTGAAGCTCATCTGATTCTGAACATAAACATTTCAGTTTCTGAGTTTGCCATGAAGATGATTCCTCCATTAAAATCCTGTCGTTCTCTTTTGTTGTTCTCTTGTGGCCAGTGCAGAATGGAGAGTCTGGGACCAACGTTGAGTTGTTGCGCCATTAAAAAATGTGTCTGAAGAAGGTGAATCAGTCCCGGTTGAGATTCAAAAACTGAGACAATATGATACAACTAGAGAAGGTTGTTTATTCCCTGTCCTTCTTCTGTAAAGCTGATGTTGGCTGTTCCAATCAGATTCATATCTGATTTCACTGGGGGTTTTTTTGTTTTTGGCTGTAAAGGTCAGCATCTCTTTGGGATCCTAACTACAAGTTGGTGTTGAATTTTGTGCTTTTCCTCCACCAACTTGGTTGGTCACGACATCTCTTTTGTTTGTTTCAACACATAGTCCAGGCCCAAGATAACAGCTTCCAGAATATGTTTTGCAGGTGTGTAAACAACTGTCGCAGGGCACTTGGCACCTAGATCTGGAGGTCATATGTTGAAAATTTGACAATGGTTTTGTTCAGAGGGAACTCCAGTTCATGTTTGGGTGTTTCCAGTAATGGTGTAAGACAAAAAGATCACAGTTATTTATTAATCTATCCGTATATATTTATATACCATTGCACTGAGTACTTTTTAATAAGCTGCAGTCTATTTCAATAAAAATCTACATGTTACTTGTCTGATGGGAGTTTAATGTCAATTTCTATTCATGCAGCCTGATACACGCTTCCTACTACCATGGGCAGACAACCAATATTGCTATCCCTATAATGCTCCTCTCTTAGAGCTATCAATGATCCTATTCCCTTAATGTTTACTTTGGCAGCAGTAGAGAAGGAAGGGATACTGTACAGGACGTCATCAAGCCGATCAACTGCAGGGGAGAGAAGGGGCTGTTCCACGCCTACCAGGAAGCTGCCAGATAGCTGTCTAAGGTACTGAAACTGAACGCCGCAGTCAACAGGGACAGCAAAATGACAACTAACGGATCCTTAATCTGCTTCTAGCAACTTTCAGGGAAGTAGCATGACTGTATAAAACTGGGGCCATATTTTAGGATTTAAAAGCAGTAATTTCAAAGGAGTAGTAGCCTACTGGTAGTGCAATGGCTTCACAGTGTCTCAGCTGTGCTACTGTGATGGCAGTAACACCTCTGTTCTGGGACGCAACACTGATTCTTAGTTTGGGGAGCACTGTTTGTCAAGTTACACTCTGGAGGAAGAGGGAGATTCTGGAACTATGCACCAATTCCATATTTCTCCCCACTGATTTTTACTATTTGATGTGTTATAATTACTTTTTGGTAACTGTGGATTGCATTCAAGTGTAACATCAAAGTGCGGACTAGATAGAGTCAATCTAGGCGGCTGTGGATGACAATGGTGAGTTCATTTTTTTCTCTATTGAATATTTTTTACTTAAGAATATTAACTAGGTTCAGTATCCCTTATCCAAAATGCTTGGGACCAGAAGTATTTTGGACTTTGGATTTTTGGGAGTTTGGAATGCTCAACATCTGTTATCTTCATTTTAAGGACAGAGAAACTGAGGTATAAGGTGGTTATATTAATTGGCCAAAGATGTGGATCCAGTCTTGGATTTTTATTTGCTCTAATTTTGTGTCATTAGTTTTCTTCTTTTCCTATGATTTGTTTATTCACAAGGAAATTAGTGAAAATTAAAGAGGGAAATCCCCCAAATATATTAAAATAATTATTTCCTCAATGCTGTTCCTTCTTGACCTTTAATAATAACAATAGCTGGCACTTGCTCAGAACTTTAAAATTTACTTTCGTATACATCTTCTACATCTCCTAATTTATGAGATGTGTTGTTATACCACTGGTCCTGTTGAGGTCAGACAGTCAGTGGTGACTCAGGGTCTTACCCGTCTTGTTCTTTTGGATTGTATTAAGCATTTCTAGAGATATGATGTCATGAAGTTACATATTATGAAGATGGCAAGAGCAGTTTATAGACACTTTATGAGAATTTATTAATGATGATCACACATATGTGGCCTTTGATCCAAAGATGCAGATTTTTATTTGGACTTCAATCTAAGGAGGAAAGAGCCCCCAGTCTGGTATAATGTACTAACTGATGCTATGTCCTGAAATTCCACTGAGATTAGTGGTCTTAAAGTATCACAGTACATCCCTGACTTTACAGTACATGAAACTATAATATGGCTTAAGCGATGAGGGGGTGGCTCTGCTTTTCTAATTCAAGTGTCTACATATTTGGGGGAATATTAGAATGCTTTTACCTGTCACTGAGTTATTAGAAAGATTATAGTAGGGGTTCTGCCACTGGGTCAGCTTTCCAGGAGTGGGCAGAATGTGATCAGTTCAGTATTGGAGTGAGGTTACTGTAATTCATATTTTTTACATATAGCCAACTTTTGAATAGATAATTAAACTCCCTCCATTACCAAACTTACAAGTAAGGTACAAGAAGGCATGGCATGAGAATCCATCTGCCCCCTTTTCCCATCTGACTGTTGATGCTGAGATGTAGTGGAATTAGCCAAAAGATTTAAGAAGAAAACCTGGGTGATCTACACCCAAAATATTCAGTACCTAAGTCATTAAGGGCTGATGGTACTTGCAGGATAATGGGAAACTTCCCCACACGAAACTGAAATACTAGTACACAGAAGTAGCCTCCCATTTACCACCGCAGGATCAACAGGCAGATTTGATCATTTATCTTTTTGAAGAGTAAGTACTCTTTTGCCAAGGATAAAAACCACACATAGCTATTGCACTACCAATAGGTCAAATCATGCTGCAAATGCCCATGTGTTTCTAGGATGCCATTGGCTACTGCTACCAGAAATAACTCCAACCACTCCCTTGACTAGTGTTGCTAGCTTGGTCTTCAGGGTTTACCTAAGTGAGAGCATCAATGATAGGTTAAAGAAGAATTATCCACAGAACACAATGGATAAATGACAGTCTGTGCATACTGTTTGGGCAGCAGGAGTGGCAGTGAAATCTTGCATGTCATTTATGTGAAATTAGGACTAAATCCCTACATGTGCACACATGCATGCCCACACCACACCACACACAAACACACACACACACATACACCCATCCCAGGGTTACAACAGAATGAAAGGGCAAATAGAAATCATAGTTGAGGGCTGTAGTCTAAATGATCAGGATTGGCACACTCAGGTTGACCTCTCAGCTTTGTGAAATGGAACTAATGCCACTAAGAAACTGCATGTTTATTTCATCTGTTCATATATCTGCTGCTATGTTTGGCTGAACTGTCACTGAAAACAGGAGCACCATTCTTGGGACATTAAAATAAAGAGGGAGGAATTTTTCAGAGAATCAATAGTTAAAAGAACAAGTAAAAAAGTAAAAAGCCAACAGCAGATGTGGCTTCTCTTGTATGCAGAACAACTAATGAAAATGCTCAAAGGAGTTATCAAGATAAACCATGAAGAAGATAGAACATTAAAGGAACAGCAGCAATAATGAGACAAAAGAAGAGGCTTAGCAAGGGACCAGATCTTGAAAGAGTGGCCTTCATTCTAGGGTCTTTTGCTGTCCAATGAGTCCCTTGTCCTTGGAAGACCAGGCCCAGTGCTGCAGAAGAAAAATCTCTGCAGCAAGGCATTGCCTTCAGAATGGTGATGATGTCTTGTTACAAAGCCAAACCCAAGATGACAACCATATGTAAATAACACCTTTTTGTTTTACCCTAAACAGATGAAATATTCCATACAGTTTCACTTAATTTCCCACAAGCAGAAGTCAAGGACCTCAGAATGAGAAAAGTGATGAATAACATGATGGTTTCCACATTGCAAATGTTATGGGTGGTTAGATTATGGTGTAATGAAAAAAATTTTCAGTGCCTGTCACTGCACTGAATCTTGATGTTTCAATAGTCTCTTGGAGTTTGAGATGTATTGGAATAATTTTTGCACCAAGATTAACATGGCACAGTAGAAACAGGCTATTGACGAATCTATGTCCTCTTACCTTACCCACAAGGTTCCCTAAAGGCTCCCTTTATTCTCACAATATTTCATTTTGAGGTGACTTCAGGTCAGTAGAAGGGACCACTTGGGCCACTCTCCATCACTTCTCCCAGCTCAGCAGCTCACAGGTGAGGCACTTGACCCTTTTGCACTCCTAATGTCTGGGGCTGGAAACCTGTTGCTGGATAAATACAGCTCAGCAAATCCCCAAACAATGCTCCTGTTCACTAAGGTTTCATTGGGTTGTGCACATACATGCACAATCCTCGGTCCCCCCTCCCTCACTCACATACACCTGGTCATGTGGTCCATCGAACCACAGCTTGTTTGGATGTAAGAAGAAAACTCTGCAGAAGCTGTTATTTTTAGAAGCCTGATTATCCCTCCCAAATGCCAGCAATTTTGTCTTGGCGTCCATCTCAGATCAAGCATGGTGCATATCCAGGGCAAAGCAACCTGCATTGTGTTTGAAGGGACCTGCATCTTCAGTGAAGCTCAGAATGTGGCTAACACTAGCTAACTACCTGAAATCACCCCACATTCAGATTGGACCAGCTGGACACACATTTAGAGAGTGCCTACTGTGTGCAGGGTAAGGTACCAGGTCCCTTTTTATTTGGGTTAAGCTCAAACAAGAAAGGAGCTGGATTGGATGTGGGGTGTGTATGTGTGTGTTTGTGCACACGCTTGCAAACACAGGTTTATATGGGTACTAATATTGGATGGAAAATCTGGCTTTTTATTGGTCTATGCTTTTCTTTTTCAGTCTAAATTGGGTATGTCTGTTTTGGCAAGTTGTGGCAGCTCTCTTTTGCTTTTGTCACCCAGAGGCTTCCTTGGACAAAAGGAAAGGAGAGAGGTACACTTGAGGACCCCAGCAGTGAGGAACCCATTCCCCATGCCTAACACAACCCCCTCCCCAGTGGGCCCCTATTCTGGGCTGGCTTCGCTGTTGGCTACTTCAGTGCATCTGGCCCCCCACCCCCCACGTGAAGACCTGAGATTGAGCGTGGGTTTCTGTTCTCCACCAACTCTGCAGCAAGGGCCCTGCCACAGGCGTTGCTTCCTGTCATCTCCTCTTCCTGCTCCCAAGTAGAGGCACCTAAACAGAGATTAGATTTCTGGTTTCAAGGCATATCGAACCAAGCACGCTGAATGAACATGAGTTAGTTAATTAGCTTGGTCTCTCTTCTTTCTGTTCCCTGGTCTGAATGTTCCTTGATGGCAAAGCGACCAGGAGAGAGTTGATTTGCATCTTAAGACCTATGGGTAACACTTCGGGAGTGGGGAGTTTTATTTAGCAACTGCTTGAACTTGTGTATGGGGTCGGGAAGGAGGTGGAGCTGACCCCAATTGGGCTGTCGGAGTGTGGGGTGTGGGTGGTGCCCACTGCCACGCTAACGCCCCGGGCCTCGATGATGGCAGACAGGAGCTGCTGCTGCTGCTGGCGCAGGGTGTCCGCAATGAGCAGGGGCAGGGAATTGAAGGTGGCAGTGAGATGCTCCAGCTTAGACTCCAGGCTACTAATCTGCTTCTCCAGGTCTTCACTCCGATCGTTGAGTTCCGTGATTAAGTCATACATGACATTTTGCATCTGTGTGGAGAGACAGAGCCGAGAGACAGGGAGACGACAGGTCATCACAGAGGAATCTGCAATGGGGAAAATGAAATACCCCCCCACCTTACAGCAGGAGCAACTTCCGCACCAGCTATGTCTGATCTGGCCAAGGAAAGAGAAATCATTTATGTTCCTGGAGATGAGGACACTGAAGTGGGCACATTTTTTTTCTTGTTTCAAAAGTAATGAGTATTAATGATAAACTTTTATTAGAAAACATGCATAAGGGAAAAGAAGCAGTACTTTTTTCTTAAATGGAGTGTCTCTAGACTGTCTTCATTTTCTTACAGAGACCCAACCTCTCAGCTCACATGGCAGCTGGCATCTAATGATTCAAGAGAAGTTGGGGGCGGGGAGGACAATGCAGTACACACAATTAGTAGGCCAGGGTTCGAGTTCAGGGCTGCAGCTCACTAACAATGTGCCCTTTGTCACATAACCTCTCTCAACCTTGGTTTCCTTAAAAAATTGGAGTTAATAGTAACACTTGGTTATGAGCTATTGTGCGTCTCCTCAACCCCCAATTCCAATACAGCAGCCAGAACGCAAAATGTAGTTAACTCCTCAGGCACGGCCGTCAGCCAGAGGCAGCTGCCTGGTCAAGGGGGAGGTATGAAGGCCGGTTCATGCTGCCTCAGTTTGGGATGTCCCTGAAGGGCCATTCCATCTGGCCGAAGTCTTGGTTGACTGTATCACAGTTCTAACCCTCGCCCTGACCCATCCTGCTTCCCTCAGTCCCTGACAGGTATTATCCTGAGGATGCTCCCCAATCACCCTCCTGCACTCCACACCATCTCACAGCATTCCTGGGGGCCCCACCTATGGCCAGTGCTCCTCCCCGAGATGTCCCAGGGCCCGTGTTAGTCTGCAGAGTCCTAGTCTATGTGACAGCCATATTTCTCCCAGCAAACTAACAAATGCCACCCTGGCTCTGTACATCAGACTTGGGAGCAAGATTCCCATGAGTCTCACATTCCCAGATGTTGAGGAAGGAACCTCCTGTGGGCAATGGCAGAGGGCCAGGCTGGTCGTCGTACTGTCGCCCACCCCCTCCTGGAGGTAGTGTGGCTCTTTGGGTTTCTGGTAGTCTGCTAGTGACACCCTGATCTGATTTCACCTGAAATTTCAAGTTACTCCAGGAAGATATGGAAACCAAAGGAATGGGAAATAAGGAGAGAGAAAAAGAGGATGAAAAGGAGGCAAAATATGAGAAGCCAGAGAGGAGAGTGGGGCAGGGGGAATTGAAAACGTAGTGGTGGCCTCCGAGCCGACCACATGCTCCACAAGGACACTTCAGTGGGCGGCACAGGAGGAGTTGGCAGAGAGGGCATGAAGATAGCTTCTCTCCCTTTAGTTCTGCCCCTGCCAGAGCAGACACTGTGTCATGGCTGCCCTTGCAGGAGAGGGTGACTTTAGAAGTGAAAGTACTTCCTTTGTTCATTAACATTCACAGAACCTCCTCAAGGTGCCCATGCTTCCTGGAATGTACAAAATCACAGATTCACTTGACCTCAGGGCCACCCCGATGAGCCCTGCACTCAGAGTCCAGGCCCCTGGGATTTGGCCCAGTGTTGGCACTAGCCAACTGCCCAAACTTGGGATGGGCACTTTGTTCCTTTGGATCTTGGTTTCCTCATCTATATTCATAATTCATAATCAGAACTATCATTTGTAAAACCTTTATAGTTTACAAAGCATTTTCACAGATATTATTTGATTACCTGAGTATCAGATGGTAGGAATTATTTTTATATTTCAGTTGAAGAGATTGGGTAAAGGGCCTCCCCAGCTGTCATTCTATGAGATAGCTATTCAATGTAGAAAATAATATTTGGAGGCCGCATGCCATATTCTTAATCTAGAGAGGACCAAAGGGCAGGGGTGGGAAGGTGGTGAGTCAGGAGGGCTGAGTACAGAGAGAGGAGAGGCGCGGCATTACTGCCTTCCCCTGCTCCGCTGCTTGGTGACAGGATGCCAGGGGGAATGTGGACCAATGTGAAATATGCTGCGTGGCTGCCAGGACCTTGGGTGAATCTCCTGGGAGGAAAAGACAAAGAATGGACGATGTCAGCGTTCACCTCCTCCTCTGATCTCACACCATGTCCCCCACAAGGCTCTATGGAATCTTCTCATAACCCTTCTCCACACACTCCTTCCTTCTGAGTAAGTTGCTCCCCAGGTTATTTATGGCTTAGCTTCCCCATCCGATTCACAAGAGAGTCTTTCCAATTCACTGAGACTGTTGCTTCCCCCAGTCTGCTCTGCTGGGCCCCATCTCTTTGAGAGGTCTTAGGTGGCACTGCAGAATGCAGGCCTGAAAGTCAGGTTTGCCTGATATTCCCAGGGGGAACTTTAGCCACAGGGTGTCCTGCCAGGTGAGAGGTGAGGCAGGACACATGGCTACTCATGGAAGAAACATGTTGGGGCATCTCATGGGGCCATTCCTGAAACTCACAGGGTGGGCCCCTAGCTATGTTTACCCTCCCTGACCTCTTCCCAGCCACAGCATTAGTCTAAGGGTAAATACATGACCCAAATTGGCCAATCATCTGATATCTTGTGAGAATTTGGAATTAAGACCAATAGGAGGACAATTAGTTTTTACCTGTGGCTAAACTATAACCTACTCTCTGGATTGGGAGCCTTCCATAGTCTGCCATGGAGACAAGAGGCAGAGAGAGAGGGAGAGAGAATGAATGAGAATTGAAGCAGCCACATGAACTGAAGGAGAGAAAAGAGATAGCAAGAGAATCCCTCCTGGGTTGTGAGGGCTTCTCAGGTCTGGTGCTCGTCAGTTCCTTCCTGAAGTCTGACCAGATGCCTGCTTTGAGGCCATGCCTGGAATGAGACTCCCTTATATCCTTAGAATACATTCCTCTATTCTTAAACCTAGTTCCAGTGGGTTTCTGATATTGGAACCCAAGAGTATTAACCAACACACCCAAGACCCCAGGGAGTTCTCTCCTGCGTGTCTGCGTTCCATTCATGTCCTCCCCAACCCCAGCCTCTCATGAACCCTATACTCCTCCTGACCACCCTCCTCCAAAGGCACACAGGCCTGCAGGCTTCTCCCCAACTGTGCCAAGCCATTTATTCCCTGATTGAAGTCCTCACAGGCTTAGAAGGCCCTTTCTTTGGCTTGATCCCTGCATTGAACAGGGTGCCTGCACGTGGTCCCACAACCAGTAATTTCTCTGATTGCACCCTCCTTTCAAAGGGTGCTTAATTTGCCTGAGGGAGTTTCTCTCGCTTACCCAGGGAATGTGTTCCATTATGATAATTGACATCTGCTAGAATGTTCTGCCAGCCGGGCCCCGGGCTCTACACTTGATATACAATTTCTATCTAGAGGCAATGAGAAGAGGGGGCTGAGGACAGGGAGGCCTTTTCTTCAAAGGCACCTACCTACTCTCGGCTCTGCAGCAGTGCAGCCTGCGGTTCCTTCACTTCGGTGGTTTGCAAGAGGAGCGTTTCTTTACAGTATTTACAGTACTTCAGTGCCAGAAACACAGAATGACAGTGAATTATCAAGCTTTAAGCCCTAGGGCTCTCAAAGGAGAGCTCTCTTTTTTTGGTATCTTTATGTTCATCATAGGCTACCTGCCTCCTGAGAATTAAAGAAATGCACCCCATCATCTCTAACAATTTGAGTCCAGAAAAACTGGGTTGTATGGACTGGAGGATGCAGGAACATGAATTTCCAGTTATGATGGCAAATAGATCTTCTGGACGTGACCTAGGCAGTCAGCGTGGCTGCCGTCACTGTTTGGTCCTTGTTAGAGTGCCTCACCGCTGTGTAACTGGAGAGCTCATCCCCGGGAGCCCCTCAGTGTACAGCTAATAAAAGAATACACTAAAAAGATTAGTAGGTCAGCTAATTAATTTCAACCAAAGACAAAACTGAGATATTTAACTTAAACAAACGCCAGGTTTTAGAAGACAACAAGACATCCTGGTAGAGTACAAATGTCAAAAACTTGAACCTGGATTATTTTTTAACCAAGGAGGAATTGTTCTCTGCTTTCCTGGTCCTGCACTGCACAGTTTGCACATAGGCAGGTTTTTACAGGTGCACCTGAAACATCCAAATGCCAGTGTCTGAGAACTCTTTAGGATGTCTTCAGATTCTGTCACTCACCTTGGAAAGGTCCACCAGGGTGTTGGCTTGGTCACTCAGCTTCCTCTGCTCCATCTTGACACTCCTCAGTCTGTGGGGAAGAGTTGTAACAAACAGACCTTTCAAGTTCATGTTAAGGTTTAGCCCTACCAGCAGATTCCATAGCACTATCAATTTGTCTGACTTTGGAGCTCAGCATGGGGACCTTGAACATGGGTAGCAACTGACTAGAATCAGCGGCTTTTTTTTTTTTATTCCTCTTCCATAGAAAGCACCAGGCACAGTTTGTTTTGGTTTGAGTTGCAATGCATGGTGTGTGCATGTGTGCGTGTGTGCGTGTGTGTGTGTGTGTTTAGAATGACCCTAATTTTTTACTTTCCATAGCAGGTTTCCCAATGCCTGGCACATGCAGTAAGTGAATAAACAGACAAATTGGGTCCAGTTCACCACCCCAGTGCTTGGTGAGGGGAACAGAATGGATTTCTTCTGTGCCTCTTAAGTATATAGTAAGATACTGATAGAGCTGCAGGGGTCCCACCACTCCTAATCTGGCCATCTGATAGCTGAGCTGCTCTGGCATACTCACTGGTGGATAGCTTGGAGGAACTTCCTCTGGTGTTTCCTGACTTTGGCATGGTCAATCTTCTTTAGCAGCTTTGTGTGTTTGTAGATTAGCCACGTTTCCCGAAGAACATTGGCTGCAGCATTCTTGATCTAAAGAAAAATAAAGTAGGCTGCTATCAGGTTAATTTTCCCAGGTTCACATAATAGTTTTTCATGTTTGCTGCTACAGTCTACCTCATAAGGAAATGATTCTGCGATGATCTATTTTCTTAATCAAAATCACAGAACTCTTAGAAAAGATGATTAAAATTCATCTCTTATTAATTCTGTACTGAACACAGTAGACCAGAGCTTGAGGTTGAGGGGTGTTTCTTTCTTTCTTTCTTAATTAGTTCGGTACTGCCTCTTGACTGCTGTTGCTGATGCTATATTTAGACAGGCTGCATTATCAAGACCTGGAGGCCCAGGGTCCCCTTTGAATAGGTAAATATATGCCATTGCTGCCCTCGCATGCAGAGTTCCACGCTTTACCTGAGATTTCCATTTAGTGCACACGGTACATTCCTCAGATTCATAGACTAAACAGATTTCCTATCAGCTGGAGATTTTTAAAGGCCTCTTTGAGGAAATGTCTTTCCCACTGATTGGAAGTATAGGTATCAACAAGTCCATTGTTTCCTTTCCCAAATGGCCGGAAACATTTATACTGCGATTTTACATGTAAACGTAATTGGCATAAAACTGAAATAGTTTCAAAGCAACGTCTGGAAATCAGTGAAGATATTTAGGTGTGAAACCAGAGCTTCCTCTTTCCCAAGGCTGGCTCCTCTGTGTGCACTGCAGTCACACGCTTCAACATATGACGCTGTCATCTGTTGACATGGAAACCACTGATATCGCCCGGCTCACGATGGAGCTGAGACATATCAATGGCATCCAGATGGCAGGGGACAAAGTTTTAAACTAAACACAGACATCTTCAGCAATTAGTAACAAGAGCAAGAGAAAACATTCTTTATTAAGCACAAGCTAAACAAATTTTGATTAACCATCCCCATTTCTGTCAGCCATGCAAATTGGCACAGGGCCACAGGCCCAGGGCCTGGAAGTAAATAGGCCAGCCTAGTAGAAATCAGGTTACTAGCCAGAAAGGATTTTAATAAAATTGGAGAGTACAGACCTGCTTCTCGAGACTGACATCAACAGATGGGACGTTGTTAAAATACTGAGACGTGTGGGAAGGCTAGGAAACATTGTTTTGCAGGCTAACTTTTGTGTGTGTATGTTTTAAAAATTTATTACTGAGATTGGATTATATTTTTCATTGGCGCTGAAGTGATGTTTTTAAAAGAACAGCTAAGTCTTCTCAGAAATGTCTAAGGGACGTAAATATTGCTTTTTTGTTCAGTAAAAATTCACTGTGAAAATGGTTTTAAATGACTTAATTGCCCACCTCTGATACTTTCTTGCCTGAAAGGAAGCAGGTGGTCATAAGCTGCAGCTGGAGATGGTGGGTGTCCAGGAGAAGGGGAAGGCAGAGGAGAGGGAGGTTTCTAGGACTGTGCTCAAGGAGTGGAACGGACAGCTACTTCCTGGCAAAAGAGGTGGCACGAAAAGGAGGAAGGCTCTCTCTCTGCAAAACACATACTACTGCTGTCCTCTTGCAGGAAGATGGGGCAATTTGACATGTGATGTCTTCAATTTCTCTGGGTGCTTAGCCTCCAAGGAAAGCCCCAGAGAAAGACAGGAGGGAAAACCCTGCCGCAGTATTGACAATGATCAGCGGAGCCCTGGTTACAGAGCTTCCTTTTTGGAATGCAGATAGAGCCACAGAAGATCAAGGCTGCCAGGCCTTTGATGATGGTCTCAGTGTTGGTGTGGAACAAACATTTGAAACCGGAAAGCCTGCAGGTGAATCCCTGTTCTGTCAATGATTAAGCAGTTTAGGAGCAAATGCCTCATTATCTGTAGGATGGGAAAAATAAATCCTTACCTATGAGGCCCAAATGAGGTGAGAGAGATGTGCTGATGGTGTGAAAGCAGCAGCCAATGTTTACCAGGTGCCAGGCAAGGTCTGAGCACTTTACGAGGGTCTGAGTCGGCCCTCATTTAATCCTCACAGCAACCCTATCACGCAGGTACTAATATTATCCCCATTTTACAAATGAAGAAACTGAGATAGCAACCAAGACCATAAGTTATAAATAACAAATTGAGTCAGTGTGGATTGAGTGCTATATAAACTGTAAAGTACCATACGGATATGTTACTCTTCTCTAGCTCAAACACCCCATTTAAAATATGAGGAAACTGCTTCAGAAATGGGATGTGAGGCCAGAATCACACAGCTAGCTAGTCCAAGAAGAGCATAAGGTTTTCATGTGGTCTGAAGAAAAGACCTGACTAGATTTCATCCTTACACACAAAAAATTATTTTCTGTTTTCCAAGATCAGGAAATTGGAAAGGACATGAGAGGATTTTTAAATCATCCTGGCCCTCACTTAGCAACATGACAGAACAGAGAGTCCAGGTCCTGCACTTAACTTCAGCCTAAATATAAGATGCTGAAGTCCCAGCACAGCTGGGCAGCTGAGAGAGGCAGCCACATCATCTTTATGGGCTTGAATGGGAGGCCCCTGCGCATTTGGGAAAGTGATGTTAAATGCAAGCCCTTGTGCTGACTCTGAAATTAACTGCCAGCAAACAGCCTGGCACAAATCTAAGTAGATCAATATCTGCAAGAGAAAAAGAAATAGGCTTTTAACTGCACTGTGCTTTCCCAGGTGGACAGTAAATGCTATTGTGACCAGGATCTCCTTCCAATTCACCTGGATGTTCGCTCTGAGCATTGTTGGGATGGGGAGCAGATGAGGTCATGCACCCCTCCTGGGATCTGCTGAGCCTCTGCAGGGCTTCACTCACCCTTCCCTGACGAGAGCTTCGGTACCCTCTAAGCTCACCTGGTGGGTATGGGCACCAGGGCCAAAAGATGCTCCCAGAGTGCAGGGGTAGGAGGGGGCAGGGCTGGAGATGGAAGCAGCAAACTGGGAAGGACCGCACAAGGTTGGCTATGATTGGATGGGTTCGGGGATGGTTAGGAGAGGATCCTTTGTATGAGGAAGGCCAGCTGCCTCCAAACCATAAGCATATGGGCCGATTGTCTTCTTCACTCCCAAAATTGACTCTTTCACTCTGATTGGATCCAGCAAATCAGTTCTGTGACCTACATATTTTAGTAAGGGCTTTAAGATTAATGGGCCTGGGCAAGAAAGTGGTTCAACTAAGATCTTGCAAATAATAGTGACAGCTAACATTTACTCAGTGCTTACTATATGCCAGGCTCTGTGCTAAACTCTTACGTTTGCATTGTTTTGTTAACCCTCAGAAAAACCTGACAAGTAGATGGGATTATTGGCTCCACCTATTATGAATTCTCTGAGATTCACTTTCCTATTCATTCATTCAAGGAATACTTAATGAGCACCTACTATGGGCCAGACACTGTTGTAGGAAGTGAGAGTACTGCAATGAACAAATCAATAACATTCCTACCATCATGGAATTGACAACCTTGTGGAGGAGACAGTATGCAATTTGTAATCTACAGTCAGGTAATAAGTACTTCGAAGTAAAATAAAGCAGGGTGCAGGCTAGAGAGTGAGGCAGGTGCTATCGATTGGTGAAATGGGACTGTTGTTGATTAAATGAGAACACACTTAAAACGCTTAGAGCCTGGCCTCAGTACGCCTCAATCACGGTAGTTTTATTAATATCCTTCTCCCCCTCTAAGTGCCAGCTCCTTTCCTTATCATCTCCCCAACCCCCAACAAAAGAAAACGTACAGTAGAACACAGATGTCTGTTCCTTAAGCTTTTGGCCATAGTATCCTATGGCAATGGCTTGCTCTGGCCACCTCTTTGCCACTTGGTATTACAGAGGGGCTGTTGGCTGCAGGAGGAATACTCAGGGCAGAGGTATGTGGGGGTTGAAAGGAGCACCCTTCTTGGGCACCCTGTGCCTGCAGCAGCCACAGGGAGCCCTGGGAGGGTAATTCCAAAGGCCCCACTGGTATACCCGCCAGGGAAGAAATTATTAGCATGCCCAGGGAAGAGTGTTCTACCTGGAGGTTGGAGAGGGGAAAGGGAGGAGACCAGGTCAGGCTACAGTGGGTATGACTTAAGTAACTTCAAGGAGTTACACAGATTCAACCTAGACTAACTGAGCATTGATTAACATCTCTGTCAGGAACCCGCAGCCAGCCCTGTCTTCAGACTGAGGCATCCCTTGAGCACAGGATTGGAGAAGGGGGCTGTTCCCTCTTTTCCATCTGCCACGTCCACTCTTCCCTCATCGTCACCCCCACAGGCTTCCTGGGCTGCCCTCCCTGTCATCACCCTGCTGACACCCCCTCTCCTTCTTCCTCCATTTGATTCTACACTCCCTTCTTTGCTTGCCTCACCCAGAGGTCCTCAGTGAACACTTGGAACTGGGGGCTCCACCCCTGTGCTGGCAGGAAATTGGGGAGGGTAGAGAGGAAGAGATGTATTTTTGTGGTTCAAAGTTGGAATTTGAAGCTCTTTCCCCATAGCAACATGGTAATAAATGGTGGGTAATTCTATAATGCTATTCATGTGATGCACAGCTAAACTGATTTTTCTCTCCAGCAGGCCTGGGACGCTAACCACCATGCTGAGTTCCAAGGAACTGACTGCCCTGGAAAACCCATTGGGTTTTGGCTGGAGAGCTGCTTGCTGGATCCTGAATAGGGCCCAGCTAGTTGCACACGGCCGGGGCCCACCCTTGCCCTGCTCTAGGCCTGAGTGTTCCAATCTCAGTTGGATCTGCTCATCACTAAGGATCCTTCCAGCTCAAATGCACAATGTTTCCATGACTGTTGTTAAATCAAAAACTGCACCCAGTTTGTCTGGGACAGAACATTTGTGAGTGATGTAATTTACAATTCTCTTCTGGGGAAAATTAACATTCCTGATAACTGCTCAATTGATTATCTGACAAATTTTGAAGACTTGTTCTGGGAATCTATTCATGGGTCCAACCAGCCTTTGGTCAGCAGTCTAGTGTCCTTTAGCCAGACTTCTTACATCGGGTATGACGATGACTATTGTATTTTCTTATAAAATGCCCCTACTAAATCTTCAAATTAGGCTGCTGAAAAAAATTTTTTTCTAGCAGGATTATGATAAAATTTGACATGTGCTCATAATTAGAAAAGTTTTCTACAGCACTGTTCAGTAGATATTGGGGAGGGGCAACTAAAGGTTTTTGAGCAGAGAGGGATATGCTCAGAGCTAAGTCCTTAGACTCTGAGGAAGCAAAATGCAGGATGACTGGGGTAAAGGAGGTGCATGTGAGGAGAGAAGTTAGCCAGCTGTTATGATGGTGCAAGACTGGGAAGATAGCAGCTAGGAGTATGGTGGGGCAGATGACCTGGAGAGACCAGCAGGTGTGAACAGCCCATGGCAAGGTCAAATCAGGCTCAGAAACTGCTCAACCCCTGTGGAGTCCGGGGCACAGAGGAGTCAGAGGTGGTGCTACGTCTTCGTGCCTGGAGACTAGCAGACCAGGGAGGTCAGGAGAAAGAACTGGTTTAGAGAAGTATGGGTTTGGTTTTGGTCTTAGTCATTGATTTTGTGGGGATGTGCACCTGGATGAGGTATTTGGGGCAAGAAACACTTTCAGCAAGGAGAGATAGTCCTGAACAAGGAGAAAGAGAGATAGTCCTGCGTCAGTCGTGCACACCCATTGTGGTGGCTGGAGGTTTTGCTCACTGTGGTTTGACGTGAAGAGTATGCGTGGTGAAGAGAACAGCTCCAGTCCATGGTACCTCTTCAGCCAAGAGTGTCCATGGCAGCCCACCCTGCCTTTTATAAGGGGAGTGCTCTCTGATGGTAGTTGGTAACCAGAGGTTAAGTATGAGGGCAAGGACCACCTCTTACCCACCTTGATGTCCCCAGAGCACAGGGTGTGGCAACCAGAGAGTGACTTCTGTGATGAATGAGTTTAACTACATAAAACAGAAAGATGGGGACATGGAGCACTGGGTGGCAGAGAAGATGTGACTCTAGTACCTATTTTACAGTCTCTCTATGTGTCATTTACTTATGTATTACCTAGTAGCCCAGTGGTTAGCAGTGTTATAATTATAGAATGACAATGGCAGTGACGCCGCAAAGTCAGTGTGGGAAGATCGGATCACATTAAATACAGAAGTGACATTGCCACCGGGGTTGACAAGTTATACAAGCGAAAGAAGACAAGCCACAGAATTCAGGATAACCAGAAACTGAGTTCCTACCCTGTGCTATCAAACCCCCTTCCCTCCCACAAACAGATAAATAAAAATAGTGCTGGCTCTAATGGTAAAGGCTGGGCAGAAGCCTTTATAGCAAGACAGGCACGATGAGGAAACACTGGGACAATTGGAGTATTTTTATGCTTAATAGGCTGCAATTCCTTTTTTTTTCTTTTTTCACTTAGGTACTTGAAGAATTAAGGTGGTATATACTTGTAAGAGATTGCTTTTAACTGTTAAATCTATTATTGTCCACTCCTGAGAGGTTTGCAGTTATGCCACACTCAGCTTCTTCCACATTAGATCTTTCTCCAAGAATTCACTGAGATCTTATAAATAGACTGAGCTTGGCATTTCTTTGACCCACGAGCCTCTCCAGCTGGAAATGAAGGGCCATTTGGAGAGGACAGAGGATAGACCAGGCATCCCCAGGGGAAGAAAGGTGGGCTTCTCTTGTGAGCAGATAAAAGTTAGCTCAAACCAGAGTAGGCCAAGGACACAGCCAGTTGCATTTCAATCAAGGTTATGTAAAAGAACCTTTGGAAGTCCCAGACCTGCCAGCTTTGAAAATCTTCTCTCTGTAAGAACCATCCCTTTTGTGTTGTTTATTTCTCTGGGAAAAGATATTAGATATTAAAGGGACGTTTCAGCAGATGTAAGTATTCTCAGAAAAGCTAGATGTTATTTGATTAAAAAGGTATCTTGCACTCGTGGGTGAGCAATAAATATTTGCTGATTTGATTTTCAGTCCTACTTCTCAAAAAGTAAGTGGACTTGAGGAGGATTTTAGAGAATTATTTTTGAAAGATTGAAATTAGTAATCACAATCTCATCTCCTACAATTATATTGTAGAAAAAAAATGTTTATTTTCCTGGCATATAAGGGCACTGGCTTTCTCGGCTTTTTTTTCCTCTAATGTCTGATTTACTGGGTGAAAAATGGAGAGGACAAAGGACTAACATCAAATACAAAGTACATACTTGTTTTAAAAAAGCAAACCAGCATAACCAGAGAGACTGTTAATGTCTGTGCTCTTGATAAACAGCTTTGGAGAAGGTTTTGGAGGAAGAAATCTCTCTCTCCTCACTCCTGCCTGTAGTTTCAACTCAGTGAAACATCACCAAGTTGTTTCAGGATCATAGACACAAGTCTGTTTGCATTTAGGTGTTGCAATAACTTTAGTGATTTCCTCAATACCAAGCGTGACTTCCGCATGCATATTTGAGGGGGCTAAAGAACAGTGACCAAGGTACAAGATCCCATGTGACACCTGCAGGCCTTGCCATGGGACAACCTCCAGTCACTGATATCATGAGGCTACAGATCATGTTTTCTTCTGTACAGCTGGGAGCTCGGGCCATGATGTGCCACATTCGTCTGTATGTCAACAACACAAGAATATTTGTCTGTACCGTTCCTTTTAACATCTGGAGGCTCTTTAAAAGAATCCAATAAATGTAATCAAAGACCAAACAATCAAACACCATAAATAATTCTGCCGAGAAATTGGAGAGGCCTTGGCAACTGCACATTCTCCCACTGCCTTCGCGCTAGGAGCTTGCAGCGCTCTGTCATCCTCTCTCTCTCTTTTTGTTCTCCCTTCCTGCCTTTGTCTCTATTTCTAACACATTTTTTTCTGCACTGAAACATTAATCACTGAATATTTTCTCTAGCTTTCAAAAATCCAAATCAAAATGTGGTTGCTTATGAATCCCTGAACCCACTTTAGTCCAAAATGAGGAAGACTTACTATGGAGGCCAAGGCCCCAGCACAGGGTTTTGGTTTTCTCAGCTCAGAAAAAGGAGAGTCTTGTAGGAAATCATATTACTGACCTTTGTTCAGCCTGCAGTTCTAAAGAATTTTCCATAAAAGCTGTCATTAAATAAACAGCTCCTGCCTTGCTCATTTGGCCTGCTGTTATCCTGGAAGGCTCATTCTGTCTCTTTTAAATGGGCCTTTTCTTTGACAATTCAGTGGGGTGTCAGACTTTTAGCAGCTAAATGATCTGCCTATTCCTGCATATTTCCAGTTTCTCATCCTTCTTAACCACTTTCATAAGAGTATAAGAAACATTATCTGAAAAACGGAGAGGAAAATTGGATGATGATGTTTTGATGAACAATATTATTTAAGAATGTGGGCTCTACTGGAATGATTGTTTTAAATTATTCTTTTTAAGGATTAGATTTAGATACATTTCCAATATACTTTTAAGATTCTCTACTGTCCTTCCTAATGAGAAGCATGAAAATATTTGAGCATAAACAAAAATGCTGCCTCAAGCTGGGTAATTTATTTGGTACCATTAGGCAAGGGGGCGAGTTATACCATTGCATACTATTGATTTAATTATCAGAATAATTATTTGGTTGACTGAACCATGCACAGTGATTTAATAGAAGACAGGAACGTTGTGCCCATTTCGTGGAGGCTGTTTGCCTGTGTCTGGGGTTCTCTCAGCACTCTATTTAAAGATGTGGCACTGACCCATACCATGTGACTATTTTCTTTCTGACTGGCTTCTGCTTTAGTCTTAAGTCCCCCTTTAAGATGCGGATGCATGACATCTTACCCGTTTGGTGAGCTGAGTGTCCATCATGAAGTTGTGAACGTGCTTCTCTGCTTTGGTGAGTTCCAGCTTTCGGGCCACCACGGCCACCACCAGGGCAGTGCAGCCCGCACCCTATGGGGGGACACCAAAAGGACCAGAGAGGAGACATCATCAAGAGGCAAGGCAAAAAATTCAACGTGCTCTGTGCACATCCTGGGCCCTGATGTCCCCACCCACGAGGGGATCTGCAGTGCCTCTTGGCTTGTGCTCTATAGCTGAGCTCTGAGAGACTGTCTTCACAGAGATAGCCAGTCCATAATGGAGCAGAATCCTGGCTGGAGCTGAGGCTTTGGGGAAATTAAACAACGGATATCGCCAGGTCACCTGACAGGCTGTGCAAGGCAGCAGAAGACAGAGAGTCCAGCACACACAGGCCCTGTCTCCCTCATGCATGTCCCAACCCCACTGGACCAGTGGGCACAGGAGGAAAAAAGGCTATGCATCAACTGGTGTATAGATGGGACACCTGCCAGTGGTTGAGAGTTTTCTTGAAAATAATCTAATGAAGAGGCAATATATTTCCCCCAAAGATTGCTTCCCAGAAGGAACACTGGCTGGCATGAACATGTGCACTCAATGACTGTGTTTGTTGCACAGCTGGGTCTTTGTACCTGAAGGTCTAGGCTATGACTCAGCACCAGAATCAGTTCTTTCTTGCTTTCATCAGGAGGCTCATGAATTCACCATCATGCAGAGATTTTAAAGATGATAACACTTCTGCCTAAAACCAGGATTTTGAGTGAACCCGCAGAAGACCCTTGGGGTTTTCCAGAATAGTTTTCCTAGTCTGCTCAGGTAGGTCCATTCCAGAGAGCCCAGGGGAAGGTGCATAAAGAAGCAGGATTGCATCGAGTCTCAAGAATGGCAGGACTCACTTTCTCTCCTGTCTGGGAAATGAGCAGGGAAAGGAAAGTGGTACATTCCAACATTCTCCCAATGGACTTTTAAAACCTCTTTACTGTGCTTCTCGGATGGCCTGTGAGCACTGGGGCAAGAGAGAAACCCTTTCCTCTGCAGATTCTCCTGTCCTTGCTGACAGTGGACTCTCCACAGAGACCATCACCCTCTTCCTGTTGACTGGGCTCTGGACCACACTGACTGCCACTCATGGAAACAGATGATGAACTTGTGAAAGCCAACAGTCTGATCCTCCAGGTGCTAAACACTAATTCTAGTCGCCACAGAGCCCAGTTTAGCAGTTTGAGGTCCTGGGATTGAAGGAATCCATCAATAACGTTTTTGACTCATCAGGTGTTACAGAATGTGTGAGAAACAGAAAAGAACAGGAATGCATTTGGGTAGTTTGTTTCCCTACTCTCTCCTTCATAATCTCTTTCTCTCTTTTCTCACAGGCTGACCAAGGCTAGCCTATGTGAGTTTCAGTATGGTTGAAGTTGACAACACTTTCCCCTAGATTTTCACAAGGGTTCCCATTAAAGCAATCTAGTGTTTCTTGGTACATTTGGTCAGCCACCCATGTCTAGCACAACAAGTGAACAGAACTGAGTCTGTGAACTTTCCTTTTCTGACCTCATTTTCCTCTCTTGTTCAGGGATGGCTGTGTTTTCTTGGCATCTGTGACTTGCTAGAGACTCTGTACCCAATTTTCAAAGGATATGGACAGTTGGACAGCCTGGTCTATAGCTATAATCAATTTAGCCAGGTCTTTAAGCAAAAAATAGCTTAAAAGAAGCGGTCCTAGAGGGAAGATGTGTGCTCCCTTTTGCCTCAACCAGACCGAGTATCATCCCTGCCCTTTATATGGAGTTCCAAAACACTTTGGGCTGAAAGCCAAAAGGAGGGACATATCACAGTGTCAAAAATGGAACATCAGATGGAGAGGGTTCTCCCCAGGCTCCATTCTCCCTCATCTCCCTGGGTCAAGAGAAAACTCAACTTAATTCATCCCTGAAAGCTGGGGGTACAATAAGCCTGAAGAGGGAGTCTCCCTGCACCATCCCACTTTGGGAATATAATCAAAACAATCATCCATCATCCCGAATTTCCAGGGGCTAGAGGGACTGCTCCACAGTTCTTGTCATGGCCCACAGTCTATCTGATTGAGAGCAGGGGGCTTCTAAATAGAAGCTAAGTGTTTTACCTAAGGAACCACCTATCTTATATGACTAAGATAAATTTCTGTGTGGAGGCAGGAGGGTGAACTAGATGACATTTCCCAATTTCTTTGAACTTAAAGATGTCAGTACTCCCGTATGGCTATTTCTCTGGAGGATGCTGTGTTCTTAATCCTGAATTCCAACTAAATAGATAGGAGTGGATGCTCTCCACTTTATTTTTCTTTTAGATAATCCATTAGATGGAACTAGGGAGGTCGTCAAAAATGAAGCCTCACCTGGTCACTTCCATTAAGAGGCAACCTTGTAAATAAAGATGGAGTCAGATATCAGCAAACTTCAGAAAGTGCTGAAATCTAATTACTGGTCCTCCCCAGAATGTACATGTGTATGTGGGGGAGGGAGGTAGGGCAGAGACAAGGGAGGAGGGTGCAGGGAGAGAGGGAGGTGGAGCAGAGAAGGAAAGTGGGAACAAGTTGTGCTGCATCCTAAACAACAAGGGTCAGAAGAAGGAAAGAGAAGAGGAGGGAGCTGAGGAATGGGAAAAAAAGGATGGACCAATGGGAGTGAGAGGAAGGAAGGAAGCACAAGGAGCCTAAGACTTGAGTCAAATGCTAATGGTCAGTTTTGGCTCCTTAGAGGGAATAAAGGAAGTACCATGAGGTCCCACCTACCTGCCCTGTTGTGTCCATCTTTAAGTGGCGTGAGGATCACCTATCACCTGTTTTCCTTCACTCTGATGAACTCATCAGTCTGATGGGCCCTGCCAGCAGCCTGGGAGTGTGCATGTGACGTGGCAGTGATGCAGGCTGGTTTTGAGACAAATTGCCAAGGACCTGGCTGATTGTGGTGTGTGGGAGCTCATGCTGTCCTAGTGTGGAATCTTAGAAATGCAATCTTAGTGGGCAGAGGGGGCGTGTGATGAGAGGACGCAGTGAGACAGCACAGGGTAAAGCAGCTGCTGGTCTGACTTCCATGGGGTCAGACTGGGGAACAGATTCATGACTCAGCCTTTTGCCTTCAGATGTGCCAAGCCCTGAATCACAGATGACACCAACTGCACTCCCTGGGTCTGCTCTGCCCATCTCTTATTTCCATGGGGAAGGGGTTGGAGGCATGTCTACCCCTGGTGAGTTCGAACTTTCCAAGTTCGAAGTTTACCTGAATGAGCAGGGAGCACAGAGTGAGCAGAGAAAAGGTGGCTGGGACAGAGTGAACATGCCTAACTCATCTACAGATTTGTCCCAAATCTGGACCGAGACCCCTCCACACTAGTCCTCCCACTTCTTGCTTCCAAGAAACATTTTCCAGCTGGAAAACCTTAGAAGCTGGAAAACAAGTATCCCAAGGGAAAAGTATGAGGTGTTCTTAACTAAAGAAGCATAAAATAAAATAAAACATAAATGAAAGTGACAAATGGAGGAGGGAAGCCTGGAGCACTTACAGTTGGAATCTGTTTCTGCAACAGATTCCATGTAACAACTAAAATAACATCAACTGGTTTGAAACCAAGGTGTTTCGGGAGAAGCTCATCTTCTAAAACTGACATTAAGCAGATGTCTTGCTGAGCCCTCTTTTTGCCTCCTCCCCAAATGACTTGATTTGTGCTGCCTTTCACTTCTCCATCACTTTCCTTTTGCAGTTCAAAGAGGCATCTCTCATGAGGCCATTGGGGAGAAGCTCAGTGTCCCAACAGACATCCTGGAAACTTTTGTCTATTTGTCCATAAGTCAGGAAGGGTCCACAGAGCGAGTCTTGCTTTAGAAAGTGGCTATATTGAAACAAAGTAACTGCCAAGCAGACTTGGGGGCTCCAAGGGTCTTCCAGAGATGCCTATGGAACCAAAGGTCCAGCAAGGGCACATCTTTAAATTTCGTTGTCATTTTCAGTTCTGGACATTAAATATTGACAGCTTTCTCTCTACTCAATTGTAACTGTTATCATGAAAATTCTTTATGGAAAGATGCTGGACTTTGATATATCTGCTACTATAGGTGAAATATATCTCAAACACACCAGGTCTGTGCCAGCAACATCAAGTTGTTCAGACAAGTATATACCCTACTTAATGTTTGATAATTACACCATTACTGGGATTGCCAAGAGAAAACAATGATTAAGACTATTTACAGCCCACAAACACAAATCCTTCCTTTCCCTTTGCAAGCAGGCCCTGCCTTGGCCTTCATGGTGTCCATGGTAACCAAACAGGAAGCCCTACCTTTAGTAAAGGCACTTGCAGTAATAATTGGGAGATATGCATAGTGTTGTGAGGTTGGAAGGAGCTGGGAAGGCTCCTCAGCAGTGCAAAATCCTTGAAAGGAGTGACTCAGCTAGAAAAGTCACATTTGTTAGAAAAATGCTACCAGGGTTCCTCACTGTGGCTGACCCCAGAGTGAGGCAGCTGACTTTAATTTGTGTAAAAATACTGACAAGGAACAGAGGAAACCTCCCTGTTCCTGTGTATAGAAAGGTATGTATTTATGCAGCAGGGTTTTGTGCAAAAAGAGCAGATGAAAGGCGTGTGCTGTATTTTTAATACGGAAGGTGGATATCGGTTCCTCCTCATCTGTTTGTTCTTTCCGCTTTGATCACACCCCAATCCACAAGGAGCAAAACACTCCCTTCCAAGGGGCGCTGTAGACCCAGGCAGCAAAATAGGGTGCTGGAGACCAAGCAGTCTGCTGAAGACCACACCCCAAGGAGAAGCAGGAATGGGGGTAAAGGGGTCCTGCCTATTCCACGCAGGTTTGTCAGAGGGGGAGCCAGGAGCTGCGGAGTTGAGGAACCAGGGAAACAGTGGGTCGATCTGGGGCCACTTCTTGGATGGGGCACAGCTCTGTGCTGAGAGGGAGAATGGCTGGTATTTAAAAATAACAGGCTCCCAGCAGGGCCCCTCCACCTATTGGCAGTCTGGCTCTGCGCAGCCCTGGCTGGGAGCTGGTTCTGAGGCACAAAGCCCACGCCCCAGGAGCGGCTCTAAGAAGGAAAGCTCTGGCCTTCAGGTGGCATTTCAATCCTTGCTGAGAGGAAGAATCTTTCCCTGGTTTCCTGGTGACAGTTGGAGCTGTGCCAGAAAGACTCCTACTAAACAATGGGAGGTGTTTGTTCTACAGCCTTACATTTACCCATGATATATCCCAGCCTCGGTGCTAAGCCTTTTGTCATTAACTGCTGTTTCAGGACCTGCCTGCTAATGTGGGCCTGCCCTGGATTTGAGTCAGAGAGGGGCAGGGCTGTGTCCAGTGGTGAAACAGCAGCCCTTGCCCCCTCCTGCTCACTGGGCCAACTGCCTCTGGCCTCCTCTGCTCTGAGTGGCGGGTGAGACTGGCTACCTTGTCCACCAAGATCAGCCCCAGGAGGCCAACAGGCTGAGTGGGATGGGGGCAGGGCAGTCCCAGCCTGGGTGAGGAGTTAACTCGGAGCTGCAAGGAGAGCCTCAGACCTCCCTTCCCACTGCAGAACAGAGTCATTTCTCTTTCAGAAAGAGGGTCTTTCATTTCTCCCAGCAGCAATAGGGGTGATGAATGAGATCTGAAGGAGCACGCAGAGAAGGATTTTCCCAGAAGCATGCTGGGGGTGCAGAGAGAGGGCTGCACTGGGGGAGGGCTGCAAGGCCCAGCCATGGAGATCCAGAGCCATGCTACCCCAACACTACCCAGGCTTAGACGTGTGCTTTCCTCTTCAAGCCTCAGTTTCCTCTTCTGAAAAGAGGGCCCATGCCACTCTGATGCTGTTCTAGGACTCTAGGACAAATCAAAGAGCAGTGGCTGCCTGACCTGGACCCAAAGCACAGCAAGGCAAGGGAGCACCTCACCAACTTACAAATGAGGAGCTGTTGAGCTTGGGGACACTGAGGACACCACCAACACTGACTGCATGTGTGGCTGCTCAACATTTACAAAGCACTTAAACAGAAATCATTTTATTTCATTCGTACCATAAGCCCGTGAGGAGGGCAGGGCAGGTCTTCCATCTCCACTTTATACTAGAGAATTCTGAGGTTCAACAGGCTAAAGGCCTTGCCCAGGTCTAAACTGAGCGGAAATCAGATCCCGCTTCTGATTCTGACCCCATGTCCCTCCCGTGAGCAGTGCTATGACAGCCGTGTGATGGGCAGAAGAGGTGGGGGCAGCAGTGGCCAATCCAATCCAGGACACAGGTCCCTTAAGGCTGGTTCAGTGCCTTTTCCCTGGACCCCATCTCTGAGGGTTCCAGCTAAACTTTATCAGAAATGGTGCCAAGGTCTGTGGGACCCAGCTGTCAGGAAGGAGGACAATAAACTGCAAGCTCTGATGCTCCCTGGAGGTTGGCAAACTGGGCAGCTGGGCAGTGGTGGGGTGGGGAGCAGAGGGTCAGGCTGACAACCAGCTTTGCACAGCCCATTTGGTGATGGGCATTGCAGGGTTGGTGAATAGACCATTAACTGTCAGGAACCAGGACTCTATTCCTATCGTAGAAAAGTAAGCTGAAAAATGAGAAACCATTGCAGATTTCACATCTGCCTTTTTATGTGTGGGGGGACGTGCATGCAGGTCTGTTAACTAGCAGCTGCCCCTGCACCCCAGCTAGCAAGGCCCCTCTCTGCTTGCAGTAAAGGATTTTGCTCTTTGCAACATTTTCAGGGTAGGGTGATGGACAGAGGCAGGTACTCACCATGATGCCAGTGAGAAGACAGACACCTTTCCCACAGTATGTGTGGGGCACCATATCCCCATAACCAATGGAAAGGAATGTGATGGAGATGAGCCACATGGCACCCAGAAAGTTACTAGTTACATCCTGCTGGTCATGGTACCTGCCAAGGGGAAGATAGGAGTTAGTCAAGGGTACTGCCATTCCCAGGAGTAAAGGCTGTGGACAAACCTAGAGGGGAAGGAAATGAGATATTTTACCAAGGAGGAGACAGTAGTGATGGTGGCACACACACTGAAGGCCACCCAGGTCCTGTCTGCAGCTCCCTGCCACCCCAGCCCCCACGAGCTTGGTCCCAGAGGTAAAATGCTTTGTCATGGTTTGCACCATATTGTAGACACTTTTTAGTGTTGGTAGTATAGCTTTGGATGAAATCATGCAGTAATAAAATTTAAAATTTCCCTTCCAAGACAACAGTCTAAATGTATGTGGATGTGATTAATCTGAAATCACAAGCTTCTGAATGTGAAAAATGTCAAAAAAAATCACCAAACACATTTAGTGATTTCTTCCAAGAAAGTTGATCCCCAAGATTGGCATCTCCTGGGTGTCTGGAGGGAGACTACAGCAGCCAGGGCTCTCTTGGAGCTGTCTCTAGGGGAGGCCCTGGGGTGTCCACTGAGGCATGGCCTCCCCTTCTGAGCTGGGCAGGGGCTTGTGGGTGCCCCACCCTGGGAGGAACCAGCTGGAAAGACATCACCACCATTCCCTCTGCCAGATGCCCGCCCATTTCACCCCATGCCTTTCCTCCCTCCCTTTATCCCCAAACACTAAGACCCACTGCATGCCAGCCTCTGTGCCAAGAACTGAAATACAAAAATGAGCATGATACAGCTCTGCCCTCAGGGGTTCTCAGCCTGGGAGAGGGGCTCGCTGAGGATGCAGTTATTTGCAGAGGGTGCAATAGGTGGGTGGACGAGGTGCCTTGGGGAGAGGAGAGGGTAATGACCTTGACCAAGACACAGGAGGGTTAGTTAGAGAAGGTGCCTGCTGTGGTTTGAACGAGTCCATTCCAAAATTCAGGTGTTGAACATTAATGGCCAATGGCATGGTATTAAGAGGCGGGGCCTTTAAGAGGTGATTAGGCCAGAAGGGATCCTCCCCTTATGAATGGATTAAGGCCCTTATAAAAGGCAGTGTTGGCTCTCTTGCCCTTCCTTGCCATGTGAGGACACAGCATTCCTCCCTTTTGCAGGATGCAGCAACAAGGTGCCATCTTGGAAGCAGAGAGCAGACCTCACCAGACACCAATCCTGCTGGTGCCCTAATCTTAGACTTCCCAGCCTCCAGCACTGTGAGGAAATAAATTTCTTATGAATTACCCAGTCTGTGCTATTCTGTTATAGCAGCACAGACTGAGACAGCACCACAAAGGAGCTGTCCTTGAGTTTTCCAGGCAGGCCCATGGGAAAGACCCTCACGAAAGCCCAGGGCTGGACACAAAGTGCAGCAGGTAGCCTGGATTCACCCCTGGTGAAGGGGATGCTTTTTCACAATGTTTTCTAACAGGATCAGCTTGAACGACAGAATGGACTCTGCATTTAATCCTGTAGGAACATCACTCTTTGGTAAAACCTCCCTCCTGGTCAGCCACTTGGAGGCCACCAGATGGGGAAGTTGAGATGGGCCAGGGAGACCAAACCAATTTGGTTGCATAGAGCAGAAAGCCATTTAGGAACCTTAATCCACAGAATTTAGTTACCAGCGAGGCTTACATGAATGAATTAATGCACATGAGGTGCTTGGGAAAGGTCTGACGCAAGGAGGCCCTCAGGCTACTATCACCAGTGTCCCCCATACCCCCACAGGCTCTGGTGCCCAGCGAGTGATCAGCAAAAGCTGCTTTTCCTCCCCATAACCCCCTAGGTGAGGTGTGCAGGGAAGGCTGCAGGTACAGGTGCAGCTGGAAATGAGCTTGGAAGAAGACAGAAGCTCTGGTAGTTAGAAAGGAGGGGGAGCATCTAATCGGGGAACACCAAGAACACAGTATGATGGGTACCATTTATTGAGCACCTACTGTGTGATTGGCACTTTGTATACAAACACTCAAATTCTCATGACATCCTTTATTTTATAAGAGAGCAACTGGAAGCACAGAGATGTTGAGTGACTTGCCCAAGGACACACAGGAAGTAACTTAAGCAAAGCCCACATGCCTTTTGCTGCTCCACTCAGCATGGAGAGGCAGAAGTGACTGGCTGTGTCTTGGGAAATGATGAGGAAGTTTTAGTGAGAGGAGGGCACCTGGACTCCAGTAGTAGGCGATGAGGTGGCTTCGGAGACCAGGGGTCTGATTTTGGAGGGCCTGGAATTCCAGGATAAGAAGTTTGGTTTTGGTCCTAGAAGCCTTGGAAGCAATTCTAGGTTCCTGAGCAGAGGAACAATACGCTAACATGGCTTGCTGGGAAAAATGGTCCACAGATGGTGAGCAGGATATTTGAAATGCTGGAACACAGGGGCGGGGTGGCTGGGTGAGAAGCAGGTGTGCAAAGCTAGGAGAGAGATGGTAGGTGGCATCTTTTATCACCCACCTGAGCCTGGTCCTAGCAGGTCCCAGCAAGCATGTCAACGGTGGGCTGTCCAGCCCCAGCTTGAGTCCTCAACCAGCAATCGGGGGGGTGGCATTAGCCTTTCGTAGCTGTCTGCACATGGGCAGGGGTGCCTGGTACTTCTGGGGCACATGAATAGACATACCCTCTCACAGCTCTACTGGGAGGGTGGGCTCAGCTACCCTTCCTAACCTGCCTCACTTACTCCCCAGCAATGCTCTGCTGCTGCCCTGAGGGCCCCCAGCTGGCTGCTTCCAGCGGGCCTCCCTTCCCCAGGGCTGGGTCTGTGTTTGCTCCTCTGACTATCTTTGAGGAGCAGAGGCTGGTGGTGCCCAGCTCTGACCCCCAGATTGAGTCTGCCCCTGCCCCTGCCACAGCTGCACTCCCCGTCCTGCAAAGTCTGCCCTGCCAAGCCCTGAGGCCGATGTGCTCCCCTCCACTCCCACATGCTGCTCTCTGGCTGGGAGGAACGTGGCAACCTTGGCCTTCAGGCTGCACTGAGGTGGTGGTGGAATATAAGACTTCAGAGTCTGTGAAAAAGCGAGACTGATGGAGGCGAGGAGGGGCACAGAAGGGAGAAGACTTAAAGGCAGTGCCACACCATAAGCCAGCAACACACAAGCGACTGTAGTAGAGTCAGAGCCGGGGTCATCAGTTTATCAAAAAAACATGTCCTGGAGGAAAAACGCTTGGGTGAGGTCTGAGGACGATGAGGAGGGGAGGTTTAGCAGTGAGGAGGCGAGCCAGTGGGCTTGGGCGCGCTTGCCTGGGTTCGAGCCCAGCTCCACTGTGAGTAGCTCCATTGCTGTGGGCAAGTGACTTAACCTCTCTGTGACTCAGTTTCCTTACCTGCTGATGAGAAGTTCAAGTAAAACCCACAAGTAACAGTAGCACAGTGCTTGGCCCAGAGTAAGCGCTCACTAAATGTCAGCAATTATCATTGTTGTTGAGAGTGGGCAGGAGTTGTCAGTCTGGGAAACAATATGCGGACAAACACAGGAACGTGGATTTACAAGTGCAGTAGGGAGAGGGTTTCAACAGGGGAGTGATGTGTTCATGAAGATGCCTTGAAGTTGAGGCTGGAGAACTATTTGATGCAGGGACAAAAGAAATCTACTGTAAGCTCTAGGATAAAAAGGGATATGAGATATTTGGCATCTGAGAATGATTATTCTAGCAGCTATATGCAACTGATTAAAGAAGTCAGGCCCCAGGCAGAGAACTGCTAGAAGGTTTGCAGGTGCCCAAGGAGAAGCAATGGAGGGCCTGGAATGCCAAACCATGAGGTTAGGATTTAAATTGTAGCCCATATACTGTGTACATCACTGGTTTTGCTGTGCACATGGGTCTCTCCACAGTCCTCCTTTCCTTACAAACCTTGAGGCTTAAACTAGTATTCTCTGGCTGCTCGGCTGCCATCAGGATCATGGACCATCCTGCTCATATGGGGGTGGACTCAGAGGTAAAGAGATTAGAGATCAAAGTGGAATTATGTATAAAGCATCAGATAATGTGTTTTTTACATTGATGTCTGTTTACTGCCTTTTAAAAATTTTTTTTGTAAATTCCCTTTATGTTCTCGTGGGTTTCTTTTTTATTCACCATATAAAATCCCATTGGTGCTAACTGTGTGTGCTGAGGAGAGGAGAAGCAGATCTTGAGAATATCATTCATTCTTTGTTTATCAAACTTCTGTGATCTCTCCTCTGGCGGGGGCTCTAGAAGATGCTGAGATGAACCGGACATGCACCCTGCTCTGCAGCGCCTGGAGCATCGTCATGGAGATAAGACATGCATGCAACTCACCAAGCAGGAAGTGATGAGCGAGAAAGCCGGGCTGGTGACTCAGGACTGTGGGAGTAGAGAGGAGGGAGAAAACGTTTCTAGACCTATTCACAATTTTAGAGTGGTTTACACATGTCACAAATTCACGTACTAATCTCGTGCTATTTTTTGCAATAGAGACTTTTTTCATGTTTTTCTTTAAGGGCTGAGAAGGAAAAGATGTAGTTTCTCTTTGAGCTCAAAGGTAGTTATTATAGTTATTAATTTGTCCTTCAGGGTGTGAACTGTGTAGTTTTTTTCCCCCACTTCTTAATATTGTGAAATAAATGAGGGATACAAAAGACTGACTGGGCAAAGATTGTAGATTAAACACATGTCTACTTTTGCTTCCTTGAGTCCCTTACAACTGAAAGTTTTTAGTTCCCTACTTTTAAAAATAAGCAGGTAACGAGGAATCCCCAGATATCTGAGGAAAGTCTCTAACATTAAAGACACATACCAAATAAGTCAATTAAATAAAGAAAAAGACTCTGGATCAAATACAGACCGTTCACAGAAAAGAACTCTTGAAAAAAAAAATCCTATAACTAATGTTGAGGGACATTAAATAAGATATTGGACCCATGAGACAAAAATGGAATGCTATACAAAGGAAGCCTCCCTAGGAGGGCTGGAAGATAAATTGAGGAAGTCTCCCCAAAGTCAGAAAAAGACATAGAGAATGAAAGTGAAGAGAAAATATGAGAAAATGAGTGAATCAGTCTGCCAATTCAAATAGTAGTAGTTCTAGAAAGAAAAAAACTGGGGGAAAAAAGAGGAAAAGAAGGAGGGGAAAGAGAAAGGAGAGAAGTAATTATTAAAGAAATCATTCGAAAAATTTCCCAGAACTGAATAGCATGAGTTTCTAAATCAAAGGCCCACTGTCCCCAGCACAGTGGATGAAAATAGACTCACATGGCGCATGACTGTCAACTTTCAGAACACCAGGAGGAAAGGAGGAAATCCTATAGAGCTTCCAGGGTAGGGGGTGGGGACGTCAAACACAAAGAATCATAAATTAGAATGACTTTGGACTATTTCACAGCAATCGCAGAAGCTAGAAGGCCATGGAATAAAGCCTTCAACATTCTGGAGGAAAATTATTTCCAAATCAGAATTCCAAACCAGAGAGACTGGATTTCTGAACCAGTCAAAGTATTAGTCTGAGGGTAGAATGAGGACATTTTCAGATGTGCAAGGTTCTCAGATGTTTGCCTCCCATGCACCCTTTCTCAGGAAGCCACAGGAGAGTGTGGTTCACCAAAACAAAGGAGTAAACCCAGAAGGGGGAAGGCAAGGGATCGAGGCCATGAGATCGATGGAGGAGAGAGAAGGCTCAGGGCGCTGGTGCAGGGAGACTCTGGGAGGATAGCCACGCACCGGGCGCGGAGGGCAATCAGTCCAGGAAGGAGCAGGTCAGAAGGCTCTGGGACACATTTCCCAGAAGACAAAATTGATAGAAAACCTGATGTGTGGGCCGGCCCAGTGGCGCACTGGATAGTGCGCCGCTTAGGAGGCGCGGCGGCGCTGCCGCCCGAGGGTTCGGATCCCACATACAGACCGGCTCCCGCTCGCTGGCTGAGCGAGGCGTGGGAGCAACACCGAGGTTTGCGGTCCCGTTGCCGGTCCCTGGTCCGGTGCGGGGGCAACACTGAGGGTTGCGATCCGTTGCCGGACACGGAACAAAAAGACAAAAAAGACAAAAAAAAAAAAAAAAGAAGAGCCCACATAGTGTCTGAGGAGCATTTAATGAGGACTTGAAAATAGTATCTTAATTGTTTACTGTAATTTGCAGGTTGGAAATCTTGACAAAACCT